GGTTCTACTTTACAAAAGTACACTGATGATTTAGTAAAGGTCATGAAAGAAGAATTTAAAATGTACATGGTTGGCCAACTGACATACTTTCTAGGGCTGCAAGTAAAATAGAGTCTTGAAGGGTACTTTATCTCACAAGAAAAGTATGCTAAGAATTTGGTCAAGAAGTTTGATCTGGAATTATGTTAACCATCCAGGACACCTATTTCTACCTCCACAAAAGTATCCAAAGATGACACTGGTGCATTAGTTGATAACACAGTATATCGAAGTCTGATAGGAAGTCTGCTTTACTTAACTGCTAGTCGACCAGATATAATGTTCAGTGTTGGAATCTGTGCAAGATATCAATCTGATCCGAAAGAGTCGCACCTGATAGCTGCTAAACGGATTCTGAAGTATATCAAAGGAACAATTCGATCAATATGGACTATGGTACTCCAAGGACAGTGAGCTTAGTCTGGTTGCATACTGTGATGCTGATTGGGCAAGAAATATTGATGACAGAAAAAGTACTTCGGGTGGATGCTTCTTCGTTGGAAAGAACTTGGTATCATGGCTGAGCAAGAAACAGAATTCGATTTCTTTAAGTACTGCAGATGCAGAATATATAGCCGCTGGAGGTTTTTGTACTAAGTTGGTATGGATGAAACAGATGCTTCTAGACTATGGGCTTACTCAAAGAAATATGACACTCTACTGTGATAATGTCAGTGCCATCAATATCTCAAAGAATCCAGTGCAACATTCCAGAACGAAGCATATTGATATAAGGCATCACTACATCAGAGATTTGGTAGAATGCAAGGAAATAGAGTTGGAATACATTCAAACAGATAATCAATTGGCTGACATTCTGACTAAGCCCCTGGATGCAAATCGGTTTGAGATTCTCAGATTTGTGCTCTGGGAATCTGCAGGATTGATTAATAAGGCAGTAAGATATACAGAAGGAGAGTATATGGTGTCACATTTACAGGTCAAAATTCAGCCTTTGACTTCCTTTTAAATCTCCCTTCTGTTTTTGTTAAGATAATATCTTAACCCTTCCTACCTTAAATTAATTCGCCTTTTCGAAATTCAAATCTTCAACTCTTCCGTTTCATCCCTAAAAAGGAGGTATACCGTTGCGTCAATCACATTAGCTCTGCATGCATTCTGACAAGTCGCATTGAATAGGGTTATTTGCCCTTGGGATTATATATGAGTTTTGGGTCAAGTGTGAAGGAAGAAGAGTTCAAAATATCCTTGCTCTTTGATTTTTTTTTCCTCTACCTAGGGTTTATCTTCTCACATATCCAAATCGCACAACAATGGCAGACGCTGTAAGAAATATCATTATCAAGCTTGGGAGGAAGATCCATTCACCAGAAACAGCCACTAAATATGTCAAAACACTGCTCCAGTTAGCTATGAAGAAGAAATTGAAGCTTGACTCTGATCTACGGGATGAAATCATGGTCACTGTGCTTTCGGATTATACAGAGTTCTATGCAGATTGGTCCGAGGATGACACCAGTGAGCTTTTGATGCTGGCCTCAGAAGCGAGTGATGAGGTTAGTCCTGCATCTATCCCAGAGCCTGCAGATGGTAATCGTGCTGGGGCATTCCTTCAGTATTTTGCTCAACGGGCTCTTGAATTCGAAGAAGTTTCGCATCGTCGAGCAGCAGCTCAACCCCTCTATCTACAAGTTGCCCAGGACGAAGCCAAACGCCGGATTGAGTTTCTTCGTAACAGGTCCAATACCTCTGATTCCCCTATTGAAATCTCTCCTGACAAGCCTGATGATTTAAATTCTGATGCTATTAAATCTGCTATGCCTATTGTTCAATCTGATAATACGAAGGCGTTAATTTCTGAGAAAACTTATGTAACTGTTGATCCTTTGTGTATCCTCTCTGAAAAGTCTGAACCTACAAAAGATGTTGTTGATGTTGTGTCTGATGAGAGAAATAAAACCTCTGAGTTGGGCAACAATCTAAGTTTGGTTGTGTATTCTGCTGATACTGTGAAATCTGCTCTGCCTTCTTCTGAAATTGTTGTGTCCCCGATTGAGACCTGTCCATCTGATAATCCCTCAAATTTGCCCACTGAGATTGAGGCTGCCAGTAATTCAAGCGCTCATGCATCTGATCATATAAATGGGGTGCCTGTCTTTACATCTTCATCTTTGGCCGAGAACCTAGAACACGTCCGACATTTTGCAGGATTACCCTCTGCCTCGATTCCAGAACCGTATCGAGTTATTCATCCTTCTGAGTCCTCTGGTGAAGACGAGAAGATTCTTGCTGAAGTGTATGGCTCACATGTCCCGGTGTCTAGACCCCCTACTGTTGAAGCTACATCGCATCCAGATTCAACCACTTTCAAGATTCGAGAGATTACCAATCTTCTGGGAACCTCATCTGCCCCAGTATCAGACACAAGTCACTCAGTATCACCAAGCCCTTCTGAGCCTTCCCCATCCAAGGAAACTAGAAAATCGAAACGCAAGAGTGTCCCTGTAAAAGTTGTTGTTGAATCAGGTGATGACAATCTTGATGTGGCTCAACCTGAGAAGAGAAGAAAGTCTGCTGAATCAGTAAAAACTGAAGCTAATCCTCCCGTGCAACAAGTGTTCAAAACCCTGCGGTCATCTGTCAAGACCAAGGCACCTGCTGTGGCTCCTACTACTTCTACCCGTAAGGGAAAACCAACTACTCGCTCAATAGGACGAAGTACCACACCTGAGGTTCAACCTGCTACGGAGAATCCTGACACCACCATCCATAAACCTCAGTTTGTATCTTCTTCTGCTCAAGGAAAATGGTCCACGATGATCCGGAGAGATCTTATAGTTCAGAGGTCCGTTGATGAAAACCAGTTGAGCTCTGTTTGCGACATCTTGCCCTTGCTGAGTGATGTGGGCCTCTTGAAGACTGTCACCTCCATCTGTCCGTATTCGAAGCTACTGACTTACGAGTTCTACTGTAATCTTAATGAGGAGATCGGCAATTTGACAGGGACGCGGTGTATGCAAATCTTCATCCGGGGAAAATGGTATGTCATCGGTCTAGATGTGATAAATGAATATTATGGTTTGAAGGGTGTTGATGAAGAAGAGATCACGGACCGGGATTTGGTGGCAAAGACCCTTACAGGTGGTCAAACCTCTGCATGGCCTACGGGTGACATTGATACTTTGTCTAGCTCGGAACTCACCTCCAAATATGTCATCCTGCAACGTATTGCTCTTCACAACTGGCTACCATCTGCTCATTTTCATACGGTTGGCAAGCAATTGGCAGCTCTCCTGTTTCGGATTGGTACTAAAGTGTCGATTGACCTAGGGTCATGGATCTTCTATCATATCATCACATTGATTCATCCGCGAGAACAGGAGGTAAGGTTACCTTTTCCTAACCTTATATTTGGGGTTCTGACAACGCAGGGCCTTGTGCCAATGCCTAGTGAAGTTATCAGTCCGACTCTTCTGTATACTGTTGATTATCGTCTTCTGACTGGAAAGCACATTCGAGATGTTATGCCGGTGAATGCACCTCCCTCTTCTGACGTTGACAATGTGGATGCTGATTCTCCATATGCGAAGGATGTTCAACTCTCTCTTCGCCTGAAGGACCTGGTATCTGAACTTGAGACTGTTCATGGAATTATTGCGAAGCAGCTGACTGTGGCCCGTACTGAATTGGCTACCGTTCTCCTCCGCTTGAGCTTGTCTGAATCTGCTGCTGCTGATGTTGCTAAGTCCGACAGTGAGGACCCTTCCAATGCTTGACTGCTCTTTGACTATTTTTTGCCAAAAAGGGGGAGTATGGAACTCAGGAGGGTTGTTTTTGTCGAACTATGTTCCTTCTTGCCCTTTCTGGGCGTCTGATTGTGATGGCACCATCCGTATGAAGAATGATGTTTTGTTTCAACATAATTTGTATGCTGTCTTTTTGTTATGAATTTTAATTCAGATCTTTGACTTTTATGCGTTTGTTATCTTTGTCCTATCTAGGTTGTCTTTTTTATCTTAGTCGAGTTGTTTTGCCAAATAATAGCCAAAGGGGGAGTTTGTTAGTGTTTTAATTGCTCAAAAAACCCCAACATATAATTGACAATATTATTATGGCAATCTAAGATAGGGTTAGCTTGGTGTCGATTTGTGTTATAGAAGACTGATTGATCAGATACAGCAACAGACGTACTGACACTGAAGATCTGTTTTAGGAAGATGTTTCCTTTTTACTGAACGCAGTTTAAGAAGTCAGCTTTGGAAAGAATATCAGCGGATCTGTCTTGAAAATATATAGACCGAATCTTTAAGATTACATCCTTCTCATATCGTCCTACCATCTACAATAATCAGAGATGCTTATGGAAAGTGTTATTGCTATGGAAGTATAAGTATCCTTATTCGGTCATGAATTAGGGTTACGCATTTGAGAAGAAAAAAACACTTCGACACATATTAAGAGACCACATCTTTGATTATCATGCCTCTTCTCAAGACAATTTGTTCTTGTTGATTATGATAAAGAACGTGAGAAGAGATATCGTTGCTTAAACGAAAAGGACGCTAAGATCACACAGTTGTGGGAACAACTTTGGACTGCATCACTGAAGTGGACTGCATCAGAGTTAGCTCTCCAAGTGAAGGGATTTCATTGGACTTCTGTATGCACGGCTCTCCAACTTCAACAATCCACTAAATCTGTGTAGACTGGGTACGTACCTTGTGTGGGGCACTTGGGTGAGATTATTGTTTCTCTACCTTTGTACATTGGGTTATGAGTTAGTGGACTGGACGCCTCTGTGATCGTCCCCCAGATGTAGATACACACTGTATCGAACTGGCTAAACATCTTGTGTGTTGTTTTTGCTGTCTGCCTTAGTTTATTCTTTCTGCAAACAAATCAGCTATCTATCTAACTGACTGATATCATCGTTGATTCTGTCAGTCTAATCCATCAGTCATTTACTCATATTAATATCCTTAAATTGAGGAAATGCAAAATTACAGCAACATATTCATTTTTTCCACATTCCCCCAATAATTGTCATACTTTTCAACCATTCTTTTAGCCATTGAACTAAACTCAGAATCAATACTTTTCAACCACTCACGTAAAGTAGAATAAACATCACAAACTTCATCAAGATAAACATTTGCAGTAACATACAAAGAACCATATATCTTCACAGTAAAATCATAAAATTGTTGCAAGAACATGCTTAATTTCCTAACACTTTCCCAATCTTCATGATTTGGAACACCATCACCAAACAAGAGATCATGTCTATAATTAGGGTCAACTTCTTCAAATCTCTCAAATGCCCTCTCAAACTTTTGAGCTGAATCTAACATCAAGTAAGTGGAATTCCATCTAGTGCTCACATCTAATCTCAACAAAGCATTCGATTGAATCTTTTCCATTTCAACACAACCTTTAAATTTGAGCAACCTAGATGGTGATTGCCTTACATATCTTATAGCCCCTCTAACTTTAGCAATTGATTCATTCATATCCTTCATCCCATCGGTGACAATAATGTTAATGATATGTGCAATGCATCTCATATGAAGATATTTTCCTTGTAAGATACTAGTACCCAAATTATTTAACTTTCTTTTCAAGTATCCTACGACAACAGCATTAGAACTAGCATTATCAACCGTAATGGTGAAAACATTATCAATGCCCCAATCACGCAAACACTTTTCAACTACTTTACCCACATCCTCACCCTTATGACTTGTAATTGGAAAAAAGTTAATTATCCTTTTATGCAATTTCTGATCATGATCAATAAAATGACATGCAAGACACATGTAATTCACCCCATTGCAATGATGTACAAGTATCAGTGGTGAGAGACACTCTAACAGCACGTTTGGTTCACGAAATGAATTTTGAGGTAATAGGAATGTTATTCCATAAGGAATGGAATAGGCAAGGAATAGATTAGGAATTGTATTCTATTGTTTGGTTCGGGGAAGGAATAGACTTTAGGAATTATATTACAGTGTTTGGTTGATTTAAGGAATAGAAATGAAATATGTTTTAAAAGACATAAATACCCTTATAAAAATGTGATGGTGGCGGCGGCAGTGGTGGTGGTGGCGGCGGCGGCGGCGGCGGTGGTGGTGGCGATGGTGGTGGTGGTGGTGGTGGTGGTGGTGGTGGTGGTGGCGGTGGCAGTGGTGGGGGCGACGGTGGTGATGGTGGTGGTGGCGGTAGTGGTGCTGGGGTGGTAGTGGTGGTGGTGGCGGTGGCAGTGGTGGGGGCGGCGACGGTTGTGGCGATGGTGGTGGTGGTAGTGGCGGCGGCGATGATGGTGGTGGTGGTGGTGATGGTGGTGGCGGTGGTGGTGCTGGTGGTGGCGGTGGTGGTGCTGGGGTGGTAGTGGTGGTGGTGGCGGTGGCAGTGGTGGGGACAGCGGTGGTGGTGGTGGGGGGGGGGGGGGGGGACAGCGGTGGTGGCGGTGGCAGTGGCGGCGACAATTGTGGCGATGGTGGTGGTGGTGGCGGCGGTGGCGATGGTGGTGGCGGTGGTGGTGGCGGCTGTAACACCCCGAAATTTTAAAACTTTTAAGACTTATAGAATAAAGGTGAATTCTCATTAAAAACATAACATAAGAATACGGGGTGCTATGCCACACCCGAGCTAGAGAACTCAGGTGCACAGGCTAACTGACTAACATCCTCAATAATGTCAGTACGTAAGCATGACACGCAGGCCAAAAAGGGAAACTATCTACTCTACGCTCCAAGTCTCTAGCGCGCTCCAGTGTCTACTCATCTGTGCCTGAAAGCCAAATATATCTGTTAAGCGAGAGATGCCGGTAACCCACTCCAACGTGTTGAAATACATTATATATATATATATATATATATATATATATATATATATATATATATATATATATATATATATATATATACGAAAACCATTTTGAAGTAGGAAGATATATACTTAGGAGACACTAGTTTTAAAACCAAGAATAGACTCGACAGATAGGGACAAGCACATTCAACAGTTATAATAAAGCATATAAAGATACTAGCATGTATCCTATGGTCACAGATTCACTTCATCTCATTCATATCAACATCCCAATTCGTATCTCATCACACACAAGTACACTTTGGTGGCGCCACAGGACCAATCACATGCCCATACATGAGGGTCAGCGCATATAGCTCTGACACGGCCCCGCAGCACCCTGCCTCGTATCGCAATACGAAGGGGTCGATCGCAACCGACCGATGAACCGCAGCTCATCATAATGTTTGTGATAAGCTTAATTTCTAGGCATTATTTAGAGTAATTTTAGTTAGTGAGTTGCATAAATAAATTAAGTTTTATGGTTGATTTTATAATAAATATTATATTATTTATATGTTACTAGTTTAGATTGGTTTTAATAAATATTAGGCTAATATTGCATTTTTATTAATATTAATAGGAGTTTTATTTTATCTACTATACTATTAAAATTATTTGGTAGTGTTATCCATTCTATTTTTAATAAGTATTTTAATAGAAAAGTTTAATTAAGTTAACTATGTCATTAGGATATAATTGTTTTGCTTTAAATTAAACTAGTATTTTCACCCGTGCGATGCACGGAATGGAATTGTTGTAATATATTAAGAATATTTAAATCGATATATAGTTATTTAAGAGTTAATTTCACCAGAGGTCGTTTATCTTTCCTGACAATTCCAAATTTAATCCTAGACTATAGTTATTAATTATTACAATTTATTCTATGTTACAACTCTTACGTTAATATTCTTACTATTATTATTAACACTTAATTACTTTTAGATATTATTATTACCACTTATATTATAATTATATTATTATTATTATTATTAGTTTCTTTTCAAGTACTGTTAGTATATAATGGTCGTGAGGCACAATAATAATATAACCATAATTAAATATTCTTGTATTGTATTCCGGAGTTAATGCCATTTTTGGTCCTAGACTTATTGAGGCATTGACACTTTTCATCCTCCATAATAAAAATTGCCACTTAGTAGACACTGTTATTGGTCGTTGGACAGTTTTGATCCTCCGTCAATGAAGCCGTTTGTTGACCGTGAATTAGAAGGGCTTTTATGTCTTTTTATGTCTTATTCTTCTAATCTTGTTTAGACCAGCGCTGCTGTGACTCCTGTGAGGCGAGATGGCGAGACTTGGCGGCTAAGTAGTAACCGTCGGTAGTGAGTAGCAGCGAGGTTCTTCTCCGGCGAGTTGTGGGTACGACGACGAGCATACGAGGCAGTAACTCCTTTCGGCGACAGACCAGTAAGGCAGATCTGGCGGTGCAGCAACAGATCCGGCGAGGTTGGGACATTCACCGGTGGTTTTTTGTTCCGGCGAAGCAGAGAGGGCAGCAGGTCGGCGAACCCTCCTATGGTAAATAGCAGTTGTAGTTGTAGATGGCGTGATGTAGAATTTGCACCTGTAAGTCCTCCCTTCCATATTGACCACAAATATCCTTCCCATCTCTCTCTCTCTCTCTCTGACCACAACTACTTGGTGCACAACCTCAAAAACTCTGTTATTTTACCTGAAAGTCATTGAAGTTTCAAGCTGAAAATGTGGAATCCACCGCTCCCCAAAAATCGCATTGTCTGAGGTGTTGGAATGGCCGGTGTTGACTTCCTGGCTGCTGTAGCTTCATTCCCCAACCCGGATGATAAATTCGGAGCACCAGCTTTGAGGTTCAAGGAGGTGGTAACACTGGCAATGCTTTGATAAAACCCGGATGATAAAATTCGTCTTGGTCTTAATCCAAGGATCATATCTAAGGTTGCTGATGACTCGCATAGCGAAAGAATACTTGATGAGTTTGAAAGGGATGGTGTTGATACATCTTTTATGGTGGTGTCCAAAGGATGAAACTCACCATTCACATATGTCATTGTTGACAACCAAAAAAAAAAAAACTCGCACGTGCATTTTCACTCCAGGATATCCACCCATGATATCTGAGGGTCTACATACCCAAATCAAAATTGTCTTCAGCGCTTGGAGTAAATATTGTCTACTTAGATGGAAGGCTGCATGAGACTGCTTTGATTGTAGTGCAGGAGGCAAAGAGTAGGGACATACCTATTATAGTTGATGCGGAAAGGTTAAGGGAGGGGTTGGATGATATTCCTGTTGTTTTTATTATGGAGGATGAAAAGTGTCAATGCCCCAATAAGTCTAGAACCAAAAATGACATTAACTCTTGTATTCCGTGAGTCACAATAATAATATAACAATAATTAAATATTGTTCAATTCTATATTCTTCTAGAATTTCTATTACCATCATTAATTATTCCCAAATTTACCATAATTAAATAATTTGACCAATTATAAAGAAAGATTATTAAATCAGTCCACCATTCAATCTGTTGCACTAACTAAGCTTCCACGAAGCCAAAACAGGCCAAACACCACAGCGCACCTGCCACTCACACCCCACACCGTTATCAACACTGCCTAACACCACAGTGCTCCTGCCTCTCGCACCACAAACCATCATTAGCGCTGCCCAACACAGTGTTTTCCTGTTTTCCTGGTGCACACAATTGGTTCATCCCAAACCAATTCTTCTTCAACCATCGGCCTCCCATAACTGCCGTGGCATATGCCAGGTCCGCATCCCTCCTAGCATCCGTGCTGCCCATCACTGCAGCACCCTGACAATTGGTTCATCCCGAACCAATTCTTCTTCAACCATCAGCCTCTCATAACTGCCGTGGCATATGCTAGGTCCGCATCCCTCCTAGCATCCGTGCTGCCCATCATTGCAGCACCCTGGACTGATTGACATTGAACAAGCTACAACGACTCAACTCATACCAAAATATGAGACTAATCCTATGGACCCACAATAATTAACCAAACAACACAATCCACAAGATATAATAAACCAAAATCTCTGATGACATGTTAAAATTCAGAATTTGAAAGACCTGGCGGGTGGAGAATATCCACCACCCGCCAGTTAGGCGGAAGCAAGATATGTGAGAACCAAAGAACAAGAGAATAGATTATATTGAAAGAATACAATAGATTGTCTCTCTATGTCTATTCTATACTTCTATGGACCTAGGAAACTACTAATAAGAATAGGAAAGTAAGAGAATAGGAAAGTAAGACAACTTTCCTAATATTCAACACTTGTGATTTCTTTCCTTAACATGTGATTTCTTTCCTTAACAATTACAGTGGCCATTTATAGCGGTCGAGTTTCAGAATACACCAACAGTGTTGACAACATGCACCAATAGTGTAATAAAATACACAACAATGTGATTTTCCTTATTCCGGTGTTTTATGACAAGTTTACCCTTACAGTTCGCTGGGTAGAAGAATGTGCGCGAAAATACTGAAAAAATCTTGATTAATATGATTCATTAGATCTATCTAATCTAATGGTCTATAATTGACCATATGATCACACCTAACAATATGGCCACATGTGATCACTCCTATATATATATATATATATATATATATATATGTGTGTGTGTGTGTGTGTGTGTGTGTGTGTGTGTGTGTGTGTGTGTAAATAGATAGTATATAAATATATATTTGAGTGGGTTGATCAAACCCAACTTCGAAAGTATTATATATATTATTATTATTTTCTTATATATATAATTGTTATAACTGATTTTTAATATCTTAATTATAATAAAGTTATATGGTTTGGGAAGTAATTAATATTACAATTATTATTTTGGTGAGCAATTATTATTACAATTATTATTTCTATCCTTATTTTTATAAAATAACCACAACATCCTTTGCTATTAAAA